GATAGCCATCACGCAAGTGATACTGCTCATGTACACCCTTATTAAGCAGAATAAATAGCACAAAAATCAGAATCATCAGCATATAAGGTTTTAATGTGCTCAAATCCTAAAAATCTAGCATGCAAAGTGGTCATAAGAGTATATCTTTGTGACAATGCATCAGCAACCATATTTTCTTTGCCAGTTTTATACTTGATCACATAAGGGTAGGACTCAATAAACTCAATCCATTTAGCATGTCGTTTATTGAGCTTACCTTGACCACCCAAATACTTGTGTGATTCATGATCGGTGTGGATTACAAACTCCTTGTGTCTTAGGTAATGCTCCCAGTGTTCAAGAGCACGGATCAAGGCATATAGTTCTTTGTCATATGTGGGATAATTAAGGCAGGCACCGTGTAATTTTTGGCTAAAATAAGCTACTGGTTTTCCCCCTTGCATTAGCACAACCCCAATACCCACACCAGATGCATCACAATCTAGCTCAAAAGTAGAATTAAAATCCGGCAGCACAAGAATAGGCGACGTACACAACTTTTCTTTTAACAAATTAAAGGCCTTTTCATGTCGTTCACCCGAATTAAATCCTACATCTTTTTTGACAATTTCAGTTAGTGGTGCAGCGATTGAGCTAAAGTCCCTAACAAACCTCCTGTAGAAACTAGCTAACCCATGAAAACTTCGTACCTCACTAACTGATTTTGGGGCAGGCCATTCTTGAATGGATTTTATTTTAACACTATCTGCTTTAATTACTTGGGCACTAACAATATACCCTAGGAAGTTAACAGACGTGGTGCAGAATTCACATTTCTCCATATTAGCATATACCTTTATTCTCAATCAAAACATCAAACAAGGCACGCAAATGATCAACATGCTCCTCCACACTTTTGATATATACTAATATATCATCAAAGTAAACTACAATGAATTTACCAATATATTCTCGTAGTATATGATTCATCAAATGCATAAAGGTGTTAGGTGCATTGGTGAGGCCAAATGGCATCACAAGCCATTCGTAAAGACCCTGCTTAGTCTTAAAGGCCGTTTTCCATTCATCACCCTCACGAATACGTATTTGATGATATCCAGATTTTAGGTCTATCTTAGACAATATATTAGATCCATGTAGTTCATCCAGCATGTCATCTAAACGAGGAATAGGAAACCGGTACTTTACCGTGATTTTGTTGATAGCGTGGCAGTCTATACACATTCTCCAGCTCCCATCTTTTTTTGGCACCAATAAGACTGGTACTGCACATGGGCTGAAGCTTTCCTGCACATGCCCTTTTTGCAGTAATTCCTCCACTTGCCTTTGTATTTCCTTTGTTTCCTCCGGGTTACATCTATAAGTGGGACGATTTGGAAGAGGAGCTCCTGGAACAAGGTCAATCTGATGCTCTATTCCCCTTACCGGTGGTAATCCTTTTGGTCTCTTTTGGAAAAAGCCCACAATATTCCTGCAACAAAGAAGTAATAGCCTCGGGCAATTGCTCAAGATTAGTCAGTTTGGAGTTTTCTCCCTTAAAAAGGGCAAGGTCCACACGGGCCTCCCCACTTTCTAAGCCTTCTCAACAACCATCTTCTTACAAATCAAACTCACTTCCTTCCCCCCCCCCCCCCCTTTTTTCCTATTTTTCTCTCTCAGCTTTTCTCTCTCACTTTCCTCTTTTTCTATTCTGTCATTTTTTTTCTTCTTTTTTTCCTTTATTTTGTTTTTTTCTTTGCTCATCTAGGAGCTGGCTAGGACTCAATGGCACTAGAGTAATTTTCCGGCCATTGTGAGTGAATGAAACCTTGTTAGTGTGGCCATCATGGATGGTTTGTTTGTCAAACTGCCAAGGCCGTCCTAACAGCATGTGTGCAGCCTCCATTGGTACCACGTCACATAGTACTCGGTCTTCATACCTCCCGATTGCGAATGACACCATCACTTGTTGATCCACCTTGATCTCTCCTGAATTGTTGAGCCATTGAAGGGTGTACGGGGCAGAATGCTTGCTTGTTTTAAGCCCCAACTTGCTTACCATCTCGGTACTAGCCACATTGGTGCAGCTGCCTCCATCTATGATTAGATTGCACACCTTCCCATTCACAATACAGCGGGTGTGGAAGATGTTCCCCCTTTGCTCCTCGTCAGCCTTGTATTTAGCACTAAGGACTCTTCTAGTGACTAGGGCCTCACCGTCTGCTGCAAGTTCTTCTTCTCCACTGTCACTAACCAGAGACATGTCCTCGTCTCCTAGTTCTTCCGCTTCAGTGTCGGACTGTATTTCTCCAGTTGGCAGTAAGGACATTACCCTCTTATTGGGACACTCGGATGCATAATGTCCAAATCACAAGCACTTGAAACATTTGACATTTCATTTCTTGTTAGTGGTAGTATCCACCTTTCTTTTCCCTTTGGTTCCCCGACGTTCCTGTCCAACGTGGGCTCAACTTTGGATTTGTTCCCAACCTTCATTTCCTTTTTCTCCTAGTTTGATTTCTAGCGGTCAGAACTCATATTCTGTTTGCCTTTCCTCCTCTTTAGTTGCCTTTCTACTTTCTCAGCTAGTTGGAAGAGCTCATCATAATCAGCATAGTGTGATCTCTCCACCTCATCGGCTATGTTTGGGTTTAGGCCCTTGAGAAATCTAGCCATGTTTGCTTCTTCATCTTCTTCTAGTCCTAACCTTTCCATGAGAGTCTCTAATTCTTGGTCATAATCCCCGACACTCTTAGATCCTTGTACCAAACCTTGCAACTTCTGGTACAACTCTCTGTGGTGCCACGCAGGTACAAATCTTTTCTTCATCAGAGTCTTCATCTCCTCCCAACTATTCACAGGTCTCTCCCCGTTTCTCCTCCTACTTGCCGCTAATTTGTCCCACCATGTGTTAGCGTAGTCTTTGAATTCAACTACACCTAAATGCACCTTTTCTCAGAATAATTATGGCAGTTAAACACCCTCTCAACTCTCTTTTCCCACTCTAAGTAAGCTTCTAGATCATTCTTACCCTGGAAAGAGAGTATAGACATCTTGATACTCCCTATGTGCTCATCGCGTCTTTCCCTATAATGGTTGTCCCTTCTGTGATTTCTTCTCCTTCGCCCAGTCTTGTTGAAGCATTTTCTGTCTCCCCTTCACTCTCGGCACCTTCCTCTTCATCTTCCTCACTCTCTTGTCTTCCACGATTTTGCCCCCATCTCCCTCTCAAATCTGCCAGTTCTACTTCTTGTCTCCCCAGTCGATCTCTTATGTCCCCAAACATCACCCCAAACCTTTCAAGTTGCTTAGTTATATTCCTCAAGGCAACATTGAGGTCTGGAGTGCCCTCGGTGTTGCTTGATTCAACCATAACTTAGTCTTGCAAAATCAAGTTAGTGAAAATAAAATTTAGTCTCACAGTCACTCCCTTTCCACTCTTGCTTTATTTGTGCTCACTCCATTTTTTTCCCTCTCGTGTATAGGCTCCCTAGAGTGCTCCCAAAATATGCTCACAAGCAATTTTGTTTTCTCACTACTAGTGTTATACAAAGTGTATATGACTTTTATCAACACGTTATGATGCCCGTTGCTCAGAACAAAGTGGCGGTGGGTAGGGTTCGGCGTTTCTGGCACAGAGGGTACTAGTTTGTTTTGCTTTTTTTCGTGTTTTTGTTTTGTTTTGTCTATTCAGCAACAATCGAAAGAGATGAGAACAACACAGATATACAGATTGGAAGGGTTGACTATTGAAAAGGAGTTTCAAGACTATAGACAATAAGACATTAAGAGACACAGACAACCAACGTGAAATTTCACTATTATTGATGCTAGTGATTTGCAGAAATGGACTGGAAAATTGAATTCTCTATGAGGATGAAGCCGAAGCTCTGATACCAAATTAATGATACGAATTCCACCCTCAACGGACTGTTCCTTGGGAGTGGATTACAACAGAAAGTTTGCCCAAGACTCCTCACAAAAGAAAGATTGAAAATGGTGTTTTTGTTGATTGCGTCTAGCCGGTCTTGGTTCTAGGAAGCTTATTAGTTTCAAAAAACGAAAGGGAAGGGAATTATGCGTTCTCGCCACTTTCAGAGGAATGAAAGATAAGAGAAATAAGCTATGGACGCCACAATCAAATTGATAAGTCACACAACTCAATTGAACTCAATATAACACATGAGATTGAAAACAAACTGCTTTCATTTTCTGGTGTAAAGATATTGCCCTATTCATTGTCTCTCTAGTCTATAAATACTATCTATTCTACCTAAAGAACATGGACTGAAATCTGGAAACGTGGAAAAGAAGATGGAAACGTGGGGTGAACAACTCAATCCCATTTCCAACTAAGATAGACACTAGCTACAAAAGTGAATCGTGGGTGAACTTTGTGGCTATCCTGCTCTTTAATTTAATTCTAAATTTAACTCTACCCTAGTAGATCGATCCAGCTGCACTAAAACAGACAACAATTAGATAAAAGGAAACATAATAGGGTGGAAAAAAATGACATAATGCTGGCCCATTGACCCGGATACAAGTCCACATGGTGAAAATGCCAATTTTGCCATTCTGCCCAAGTTAACAACGTTGGAGTGTTTTTTTTGTTTGTTTAATTGATTGGATCAATTAAACCCACTAAGTGAACCATGGCTCCTTCGTCAACCACCTGGGACGTGGTTAAAGTCTCACTTCTTTTAGAGTTCTCTATCCAAGCATAAACAGCCTCTTGGAAACGCCTAACACGAGCTCTTGTCAATGGACCTTCTTGAATTTGTAAAGGGTCTTCCCTTAGGTCTCCTTGTGATTGTAAGCGGTCTATACTATTTTCATCAGATTGACTATAGAAATACAAGTTTATGTACTTTAAAATTTCAAATGAAAGGTGAAATATTATTTGCACCTAAAAAAAGTTAAAGGGCATGGATGCCCTCGCCCCTGTGCCCCTTTGGTTACAAGTTCAAGGGGGTTTTGCCCCTTTTCCCTTATCTATCCATCCTGAAATTAAGAAAACAGGGGACCAGGTTACCTTGCCTATTAGTATGTGTAGAAAGAAACGAAAAACACAATCTTTGGCAAGAGCGCAGAAAAGTGTTTCCTCTCAGCTAGCCGCAACCCCTGTTTCGCCGTATTCATAAGGTTAACTCAGTTGACAATCACTGTTCTTTTGTTTGAATCTCCCTCTTCTTCTTCAACCTTACTGTTCGCCAAGCGTCTAGTTAGGCAAACATCAATTTGAACACAACAAAATTTGGTCTCTCCCGAGGCATAGGCGGTCAAATGTTTTGTTTTTATGTACCTTCCTTTGTTTAACTAACTTCAAACTTCCATCTCTATCATCACAAGTCCGGTCAAACCTTTGGAGTTGGGTCGCCACCCTTAGAGCCGCCGCCGTATGACGAGGAGGTGGAGGAGCCTTTTGGTGACTCTCTTCCCATCTTTGCGTAGGTATATCACCCATCCCTTTTTCTTCTATTGTCTCTTTCAAACTCTCCACTATTCTTGCCTTATTTATTAGTTTCCAAATTCCAAGTTTCATCTTCCCTCTTCATATATACCCTAACGTTTTAGCCAAACCTTCCCTGTAAATTTCAACCAAAATCTTTTACTTTTTCTGCTAGAAGCTTTTGTTTGCTTAAAAATTATTCCCAGATCTTGGAGGAGTCCGGTTATATTTTCTTGGTTTTCATTTTGTAATAAAACCCTCCAAATTCAAGAATTTGATGATCGGAAAGAAAACCTAACCTGGGTTTTCTATTTCATCAGTTGAAAAGGTCAAAGATTTCAACTTTTTCGAATTTGGCTTAAAAAATGGGAGGTGAATCAAACATAGTTGCTAAGCTAGATGAACCAAGTCAGGTTGAGCTAACAGGGAAGATAATGGTGGCGGCAATCATTTGTCTGTTCTTAGTGGTCATATTCGTCTTCCTCCTCCACCTTTATGCCAAATGGTTCTGGTACCGCCGCTCAGACAGCACTGGTAATACCACTCGCAGAAGGCGGCGCTTTGAATTTGCGGCGGGTTATCAAGGGATCACAGCAGCTGCTGCACTTCGCAGGGGTCTCGACCCCTCTGCACTGAAAACTATACCAGTGGTTGAATTTAGTCCTAAAGACTTCAAAGATGGATTAGAATGTGCAGTTTGTCTGTGTGAAGTTTCTGAAGGTGAAAAGGCAAGGCTTTTGCCCAAATGCAACCATGGTTTTCATGTTGAGTGTATTGATATGTGGTTTCAATCTCATTCCACTTGCCCGTTATGCCGAAACCCAATTCCCAATCCTCCTCCTGCAGAAACAGCATCAGTTGAGGGCTTGGTTCATGGTGAGACACCTAATTTCCCCACTAATGTGTTGTTTTGGGGAGATGAGACTCAAGTTAGTACTTTAGGGACTGGTTTGGATGAACTACCTCAACAAGGCTCTCAACAAGGCTCTATTTCGTCTGCTCCGTCATCATCATCTTGTCCCTCATCTTCAACATCATCATCAGTGATGGGAAGTATTTTGGTAATTGACATCCCAAGGCATGTTGTTGAGGATGATCAGGAACAGAAATCTCCTATGCCTACAAGGTTGAGGTCATTGAAGAGGCTTTTAAGCAGGGAAAAACGGGTTAGTCCTCGCACCAATGTAGACATAGAACAAGGAGGGAGAAGCCAAAGTTGAAAGTGTCCTAAAAACAGAATGTAGACATCTCCTATGCTCTCATTTAGGAATATATCTTGTCTGGTTTTCTTTACTATGCTCATCTGTTCTTTGTTTCTTGGTTCTGGTTGCAGATTTTAAAAACAGAACTTTGATTAGTGCTTCCTGTATATAATAGTTGGCTTCTCTAGTGAGAGTGGATGTAACACATCTCACATAGAAGAGTTTTTCTTTCTTTAAATAGATAACACTTGTATTCATTTTAATGTGAAATATCAAGTTCTTCAAGCATTGTGGCGTACAGGTTTTCTTAATTTCACGATTCTTGTTTATTTTGCAATAGCTTTGGTGGTGGACTGGTGGAAGATGCTTACATTTTAGTTTCCTTTTTGTAATTTTTTATTCAGTTCTACTTATCTGTATTATCAACAAGTTTTTCGTTAAATCCCAACTTACCTTGCTATGATGACTAATTGACTATCACTAAGCCTGATAGTTGTATTGCATGAGTTCATTTCTGGGTGAAATGACTAAAGTTTAGGAAAATGACAATTCAATTTTCATTTTAGACAGTTAATTCTGTTTTTTTGACAGTTAATTCATATATTTAAAACATATTTTAATTAATTTTCATTTTGGCCACTGTTTCAGTTTTAGCAACACCTAAAAGTCTTACCAACTGGGGTCTACAATTTGTCTCGAGTCAAATAAAACTCAAGGCATACACCATTATTTCAAATAGGACCACTTTTAAATTCCCCCCTAAAAGTAGTACTCCCTCTGTCCCATATTTTGTTGTTGTTTTGATAATCCAGGTGTCAGGGCTTACGCTCCCATAATCGTGGAGTCTATGAACTACCTTCCAAAGCCCTACACAGTTAAATCCGGATCTGATCACAACCAACCTCGTCAGTACTGGCTCCAAAGGACGAATCCAGCAGGACTTACATAACCTTTCAGGCTGCTCCTTCCACCACACGAACCCGCTACCTTCATTACCATCCTCTCCCTTCCCAGCCGCTGAGCAACTCCGTGAAGGTAGGAAGAATCATTTGGAGCAAGACCTTCCCCATCTCCCCTTGGTGGGAATTGAACCCAAGACCTCCCACAAAGGAGAGACTTGGGAGTGAATGGTCATCCATTGGACTACACCCACCTTTCCAAATCCCATATTTATCTTCACAAGTACAATTGTCACACATATTAAGATAGTGGACAATGTGTGGTGAAGAGTTGTGCAGAGGAAAGAGAAATGTGTAAGAATGTGTAAGAATGGTTGTGACCACAAATTCTTTGCTAAAAAGGGAAAGATGAGATAAATTTGGGACAGATCGAAAATGAAAGTATGAAGATAATTCCGGGATGGAGGGAGTATCATTAGGAAAACCCACCTCTCTATAAGTAGAATTATTAGTTACTTTATTCCTTTTTAGGACTCAATGAGTTCCATTTTTAAAATAAGGTAATGATCTATGAGTTGAGGTTATTCATGCTTTACTCTTCTTTATCCTCATTGCTGATACATTTAGCAATATTTATAACTGAGAACATCCTCAATGGCCTTGGTTTTCAATTTCCTTATGAATTCCGAAACTCGAGAGTCCTCCGGCTTGAATTCCATCGGTGGTTGATCCGGGCAATTAAGGAAGAAACACACCGCGCGAGCAAGGCGAGCATTGCCATAGCCCGGGGGAATCCACGGTTAGGTGTTTAGCTAGTGCACCATAGCCCGGGGGAATCCATGGTTAGGTAGGTGTTTAGCTAGTGCAAGAACTAATTGTGTAAAATGCGTTTTTGTTGTTCTCTTGGATAGACTGGTTTGAAAGGCATTCACAGGAGGAAGGTCAAGTTCATAGTTCATAAAAGGAAATATTTAGTCCCATCACTAATGACCAAACTCACTTATTTCTGTTGGTCTTTAACATTATAATGCCCTTTTTTTTTGAGAAATGAAACGGATTTCACATTTTAAGTTGTGTCAAAATCTTGAACATGAGCAGAATCCTGTCCTAGTAAATATGAAGTTGACGTTTCAAAAGTAAAATTTATGGTTCGTTATTTTGGATGTATTTAGCATGTCAATTGAAAAAGTATTCCTCACCCGCACGGGTAGCTCAGTTGGTCGAGTGGTGGGAGGTTTGGAACAATGGACCAAGGTTCGAATCCCCGCAGCGACCGAGTGAAAGTCACAGAACCTGAAATAAGGCTGGGCCTCTGGTGCGCACGGGTGTATGGGCCTACTGCCATTCTACTGACTGAGTCACCGTGACTAACCTCCCCACCATCCTGTCGGGTCGGGGTGGGGGGTTCCTGGGGTGGGAGATTCCACCTTTTGGAACAATGAAAAAGTATTCCTCGTACAAAGCTTGCTAAAAAAACTTCAGACCGTATATGGATAATGTTTGACCATTTTCATTTTAATATCACAGTCTAATTAAATGCATGGTTCCCTAACCACGTAAGTTATGAGATATACACATATATAGGATATATATGCTGTGATTGCTGTCCATAGGGACTTGATTATAATCAATAAATGGACCATAACTTTGGCATCAAGTCAATGTGACTAGTTGGCAATTGCGTGACTCAAGCAAAATTGTTCCGTTTTATTGATAGTTTGATTACATATGCTTCGCTATACAAATGATTCAAGATAAGATGAAGGAAGCAAAAGGACCAAACACCACTCATTTTCTCTTGTATTGTGCCGCTCTATCGCTGAACGTAACTCAACTAATAGATAGGGGGTGTCACAAGATATATATAAGTTTCTGGTTAGATTTCTGACAATTATTATGAGAAACTATTATGTCAAAATGCATAAGGCATCTGTAAGTATTTGAGTCAGAGTTCTACTCGTTATTGCGGGCCCTCAGGAATGGAATATGGTCTTTTTTTGTCACTCCTATGAGATATTTCCAAGTGCGAGGCTTACAAATGAAGTTTACCGTTCAAATTTATGGTTCAAATTTGCCTTTTCAACATTCATTTCATGTGTCTTTCTACTGTTATAATTTGTTCTTAAAATCAAACTGAATCTTTTTTTATCTGAAGAGATTGTATGATATTTTATTTAAAAGATGAAAGGATACCAGTTCCTTAGTGAGAATCGTCCCTGAATTGTCCCAAAATTACACTGAAACAAAGTCTCCCAAACTGCATGTATAAATGTGTGATTATGCTAGATAGTTACCTTCTTCTGATTGCCTCCTTTTCGATCATATTCAATATGCTAGATAGTTAAAAAAATCATTGGATCATTAAAAGTTGTTCAATTCATCACCTTAATTATAAAAAAATCAACAAATAATTTCAAATATAAAAGTATAGTACAAAAATGTGACCCTCGTAACTTTAATGATTATAATTGTATTCAAATGTTACATTCTACGACTATAAACTTACTTATAGTAACTTAGTCATTAATTATTAATTATTCTCTTATCATATATTTTTTTATTAATTATACAGGTATTTTAGAAAAAATCATTCTCTTATCTTTTAAAATTTTAGCCCCTAGTCCCGTTATCATGGGCGTTGGGGTCGCCACTCGTCGGCAAGAGGCCAACTCTTTCGTGGGCCAACATTTTCCTATACTATACATCATTTATCATTAATATCTTCCAAACTCACATATATCGTTCGGCTTAATTGACTGGTTTAAGGGTGATAAGAATCAACAAAAAAATCAATATAAAAATGTATTGACATTTCATCCAATCTCCTCACTTAGTCACTTTTGAATGCTTTCATGATATATCAAAAGGGCTTCTAGAATAAGACATGTGTAAACAGATTAATAATTCAGTTAGTCAGCTATTAAATTCTGTTATAAGGGAAGCGGATATAAAAATGTAATCGAACACTTCATCTTGAATACATCTCCCAGTTTCATTGTCTTACTATTCCGCCGATCACTCAAGAATACCAGAAATGGACTTGAGGAAGAGAATTGTTGTAGTTTTACATTAGTTCTCGATTCATATTGATTGTTATATTCAGTTGATATTCAATCATCTTTAGAATACATAATTTGCTGTATTAAAATGGTATCAGAGCTTCGAACCTCGGAAGCGCTACCGCCATGACTCAAACTCGAGCTCAATCAGCACACAAGGAGATGACAGATCAAGAATGAGAAGAATCTATCAATTCCAGATTCATAGATCTGAAAGATCACCTAAGCAAGAAGATTGATGCAAAAATGGAGGATCAGTTCATTCATATGAGTCTGAAGTTTGATGATTCATTAACCACAAAATTTGCTGAATTTTCGAAGGAAATCTTTGAAGTTATAGAAACACTGATCAATCGAAGTGCAAATGCAGAACAAGTAAATCGCACACAGCCAAATCAAGGATATTCAGGATTGACAAGATTATCTAGACTGGATTTTCCAAGGTTTGGAGGAACGAACGTTAAAGATTGGCTGTTCAAATGTGAGCAATTCTTCACTATTGATCGTACTCCAGAAGATATCAAAGTTAATTTGGCTTCCATGCATTTAGAAGATAAGGCAACTTGCTGGCATCAATCTATAATGACTTCAGAGCAAAATAGAGGTATTATCCTTGACTGGTCTAGATACAAAATTTTAGTAACTGAAAGATTTGGTGAAGTTGTAGATGATCCAATTGCTGATCTTATGAAATTAAGAGAGACTGATGGAATTGTTGCTTATAACGAGAAATTTGAATCAATAAGAAACAGGGTGAGGCTATCTGAAGAGTACTTGGTGAGTGCTTATTTAGCTGGCTTGAGAAATGATACACAGATGCATATAAGAATGTTTCAACCCCAGTCTATTCGTCAATGTTTTACTTTGGGTAAATTGTATGAATTGGCTCATCCAAGAACAAATTCTGTCAGTGGGAGTTCAAGATTTAATAGAGGGAACTCTAACAGAAATGATGAAGTAGGGAGGAAAACTTCATTTAATACTTTACCTAAAGCAGGAGGTGTACATAGAGAAGTGAATGTGCCGAATTCAGGAGAATTGGTAAAAGGGAATAGAAAATTTCTTACTGCAACAGAAATGAGTGAAAGAAGAGCCAAAGGTTTATGCTATCAGTGTGATGAACCTTATACACTTGACCATTATCTCAAACATAAAAAGAATTAGTTATTTCTTGTGGAGGTAGAGGATGATGAAGAAGATATGAGTGCAAAAGAAGAAGTAATGATACAGGAAAACATACAAATTTCTGTCAATGCTATGGCTGGAGTATGACATTACAGTACCATGAGAGTTAAGGGAATGCATGGTAAAAGAGCACTCTTTATCCTAATAGACTCTGGCGGTACACACAATTTCATACACAAAAAGATAGCTGAAAAGCTAGGTTGCAAAA